ACTAAAAAATGGCGGAAAATTGGAAGCACTGAACATTAGACTAGAACTATAGAACGAAGACGCTTCCTTTTTTCCGGACCCGAGTCCGGATAACATTTTTTCATATTCGGACTCGAGTCCGAATAAGAATTTTAAAAATTTGGACTCGAGTCCGAATATGAAAAAATGTTTTTCGGACTCGAGTCCGAATAACGACGGCCATTCTTTTACTGTCCCTCTCGTCTCACACTTAGCTGTCAGTTTTCCCTTTTCTACTTGTAAAATAATATTGATGCTCTGAAAAAACCACGATCAACTTAATTTCCGTCGCACGTTAGATACTAGATTCTATATCTGGATCTAGACTAATATAATAGTTTTTATTTTGAAATATTTGATTTTCTTAATCAAGCTATAAAATCTATGAAACTGCCAAACCGTGTAAAACTTGCACTTTTACATAACGCAAACACAATGCCATACCACTTCTCAAAATGTTTGCTTTTCTGTTTCTAAACCGCTAAACACAGAAGCATGTAATTTTAAGGGAATAAAGAAAAAAGGTGTACAACTTATCAGTCAGTTTGATGCTACAGAGAGTCAGCTTTAAAATCATGGTCTAATTCCACCAATTTCTTCATAACAAGAAAATTAAAGAATTAAATATTCTTTCATTTAAGATTTAATTATAGATTTACCTGTGGTTCCAGCCTTTACATGCAATGCATTCCACACTGCTGCAATTTCGGTCACATTTCTTTTTTCTTTTTTACCCTTTGGGCTTCATTTGAGCCTTTTAATTTTATTGTCTTGTTTTGGGGTTTTACAACAAAAACATAACACCACAAGAGTCATCCACTCTGGGGCTCATTAGTGTACCCCTCTTTCTCACACAGAGTCATTCGACAAATTCAAATACACTTGGGGCTCATCCCTGTCCGCTTTTTCTTTCGTACCCCTCCCCCTCCCCCACTCACATAAAACACATTATAAATGATTTCTCATTCATTCTCGTTCGTTCCATGTACATATATTTCATTTAATAATTCATTTTATTTCGTTCATTCCTGAGCTGGGTTCTCTAAACTCGTCGCCTTTTGACCCCTGGATTGTGGTCACATTTCATGCCACAAAAAGTGCATGGATATCTGCTTCATTTCATCATTCTGAATGCTCTGTGGTCAGATCTGAATATTCCGCGAAAATGAAAACTTTTAACCTTCGAAGTGTATACAGACCCGGTAATTGGGAACAAAGTCTGCGAAAATGAACACTTTTTACCTTCGAAGTGTATACAGACCCGGTCACGAAGTATACAGTGTGTGTGTGTGTGGGTGTGTTTGAGAGAGAGAGAGAGAGAGAGAGAGGGGGGTAGAGAACAGGGGGAAGTGCTAGCAATTATCACATGCCCCAGTTGACAGCAGGGAACGAGAGAAGGATAGAAGGGGAAAGTAGGTGGGGGAGAAAGAAAGACAGAGACAAACAAAGAGGAAGAGACGGCGAGCGATACTCTCAGAGAGAGAGACAGAGAGGATCGCGTTTCCTAGTGTTTTCGAGTGTTTCAAAGGGATCTCACTCTTGTTGCTTCTCTCTTGCTTTGTGGGTAGTAGCTGGGTATTGACAAATTTAATAATCTGGGTGGCAAAGACAATTTCGTCACGGCCATGAGACGAAAATCAAGGCTTTGGTAAGCGTCCGGGGGTAAGGTATCAAAGGGATTTCGAGTAATTCCTAGTGTTTTCGAGTGTTTCCTAGTGTTTTCGAGTTTCCTAGTGTTTTCGAGTGTTTCCTGGTGTTTTCGAGTGTTTCCTAGTGTTTTCGAGAAAAATAAACACCGGGTTTCAGGGGGGTAAAAATATCTTGGAGCTTACACGGATGCATGCCCCCCTGTTTTAGCCAGATATAATTAAAAAATTTACAGTTTGAAGTTTTCTTGAAAGTAATTGATTTGCAACTATTTTGGTGGTGTGTGCTGCTGCGGACAATACAGCAGTTTGACCCCTGAATCTGTTCATCTGTGTGCGGGAGTGAAAGTAAAAACAATTTACCGATGTCTGTAGCTATCAACTTCGGTCAGAACTTGTAAGCAAGGTAACTTGCACAACTTTTTGGTACTTCTTCCCTGCAGAGGAGGCTGTATGGATCCAGTAAACGTGTGTATTAGTGCGTGAGCTTTGGCCCGTCCTCCCGGATAGTTGGAGATTGTTACTGATCACCCCATCGTCATCTTGTAACTTTATTGATATTAATTCAGATTAAACTAAAGTAAATGGAACATATATGAGGCAGCCTGGTGAAGTCAGGCGCTTGTCAAAATAATGAAAGTCTTTAAACTGACATTTCTTAGCAGGTTTGGGAATTTTTATCGAATTTTCGTTTTTTGGCTCAACACCGTTAATGCACTTTAAAGAGCACCTGTCTTTGTGGATTTTACAGAAAAAGGTTGATTAAAAACATAAAAGATGTAAATTTTCAGTTTCCACGAACTCTCTAGAGGTAAGGAACTCAACTTTGACGGCCCTTTTCTCGCTAATTTTACGACCTCTCAAACCAGGCAATCATCAAAAGCAAGGCAAATGGACAACCTTGAATATGATACCAGTAACTCTATATATATTTATGATATATGCCCCAAAATTGACGAACGCCTGATTCCACCTCGTCGTGACACAAATAGTTAGTATTGTGCACATTCAATGAAGTTTCAAGATGGCTATATGGGGGGGGGGGGGGGGGGGGGGGGGGGGACCTTTCGGGCCGGGGGAGAAAGAAAAATGTGAAATGAAATAAAAAAAAAGGTTAAATGATGAACAAGGGAAACAAGATGATGATATTTTTCTTATTAAAATTTTGGTAGACCGCTTTTTTAAAATGCTTAACAAAAAACGCCTGTTTATCTCGAAATTGCTCTGATCAAAAGAAAAAGGAGTTAAATATAAAAATCTTCAGCGTACGGCAGAGGTGTGGTTATTGCACTGTGACATTATGCTGCATCCCCGCTCCTTGTGCACCCCTCACTATAATCACTGTTAATTTGTTAATTAGTAGACCTATTGCGATTTGACTTAAATGAAGGGGTTTACATGATTGTATTTCTATATATATATATAAAAAAATAACTTGTCAAAACTTGGAAAACAGCTTCAAAATGCCTGATGATGCATTTTATTACAAAATTATTTTTTTTTAACAGCCAAAGCATAGTTACAGTCAGGGATTTAAAAAACTCAAGTGACTACATTTCTGTCTGAGTTGAACCAAAGATAGTACAAGACAAGATGGGCCACTTCTCTCTTTGAGCCAATTAAAAAAGTGTCCTCCAAATTTGGTGGCGCCCTCTTCACAAAAGCGCACTCTTTGCGAACAGAGTTACCCTACTTGAGTTTTAAAAAATCAAAGTGAAACTAGCAAGTTTGGGGATAAATTTCGGAAGAACGCTTTTTAAAAATGGTTACGCTGACAAAAAACCTCTTCCGGAGGAAAAGGAGATGGTTTTCTTCGTTTAATTTGACTTTAGAATGAAGGGCGAGAGGTCATTAAAATAAAAAAAACCCTAAAACTCCCCACTGAACGTACCCGAACTGCTGATGAACAGCAGTCGATCTGCGCACGCAAGGAGGTGCTATTCCTATTCTTCTTCTGGAAAAACGAAAGAGAGCTTCAAAACAGACTGCAGCGCCATCTGAAGCAAAGAGCATACTTCCTGCGGACACTTTTTAGGCTGAGTGGCCCATCTTCTCTTGTACTATCTTTGGTTGAACTCAACACAGTCATTTAATTTTAACCTTTGTGTTCCAAAAAGGGAACAGGGTACTTTTTAATTAAACTAATTCTCTTCTTGCCAACCGGTGGATGAAAATTCTCTAGTAAGATACCAAGAATGCTTCAAGCATCCATTTTGGCAACCTCTGATATATGCGTGATTCTATGCATTTATGATGTTATATTACGTTCATTTTTGCAAGAAAAGCAATTTCAAGTATTTAGATCTAAATCTAGATCTACCTCTTCCTGTTCTTCGTGTTCTATTTTGGGTCATACATAAAAAAAATATAAGAAAATTCCCTGCGTTCCCTCTTTTGTTCAAAATATGAAATAATAAAACCATCAGAGTGGAAATATAGTCAACTCGGCATGTGTTGAACTCACTTGAAGTTGATCTTCGGTTTTAAAATCTTGTTAATTAATTTTGTTGATCTTTTTCTTGGGTCCACACACCTCTTCTTCTTTACAGCTCCCAACGGGAGTTTTTAAAATTTTCCAACAACATCCGTAGTTGACTGTACTTACTTTTCTTTTTTCACTCTTTCAATTGCCATGAACTTGCAGCAAAAATTTATTTGTGGAATTCGATAGTAGTACCAAATTGAGTTCATATTTGATGCCATGTATTTAGAGCAATCAGGGCAGCAAAGCAGAAACTCTGCTTTCCGAACTCAAAATTGAGTTTGTTTCAGTTCGATAAAATCTTTATGATGCCTGCAACTGCAAGTTCATATTGATATTAAGTGCACAGGACACAAATTGGTGGTATTTGTGTTGTGGAGATGCCATGAGCTAGCAAAACACCTGTTTTCATTTTTGTTCCAAATTTTTTAGTTGCTAAACCGAAAGCCTGATCAGTTACCCTACTTGTGTGAAAATAATTGTAGTGAAACTGTTATAAGTTTTTGAATAAAATCGAATTCAAATTTTGCAAGAACTGTATTTTTCAATGGTTACGGTGACCAAAAAAACTCTTTTTCTCGAAACTGCTGTGAATGAAAAAAGGCATTGTGTGAGCTTACTGCAGATATGTCCAATAGGTAATTTTGTATTGCCAAAAGATTACCCCAAGTATGAAGAAAGTAGAATGGTTCTCGTAACACTAGCATGGGGGAATGGTCTTTTTATAATCAGTCAGTTGTCATCTTGTTGTTTTGCATTAATTTTTGCTCTTCTTTTCCTTTACTGTTCATGAAGCATTGATTTGAAAATATTTTTGATGTGCATATATTTTTATTATTTATATATTATATAATATCGTCCAACATGTAAATTTACATCTGTTTTTTTTTTAGCAAACGTTGTGTGCTTTTTTTATCCTCAGCGTTAGATGGTTTACAAGGCAAGATCAACTTTGGCATTTGGAAATTTTGCGTCAGTGTGAAGAATACTTTCTCAGCCTGTATGGAGTGGACTTCCCAAGACACAGCTTCAGCGGGGACGGGGATCGGCTTTAAAGCACCTGGTAAGAGAAAAGTTTTAGTTTCTTTTTTGACTACATAGAAGAATAAAACCTATTAATTCCATGGGTCAAAGTTTAAAAAGTTTTCTGTAACTCTGTCAAAACCTTTTATTGGTTATAATCACGTTTGAAAAATTGTGAAGGACAACAAGATGGGTGATTCTTTGAGTCTTTTCAGCTGTTGTTTATCATTATATCAGATCCTATCATGTACACACACACACATGTGCACACACACACATGTGCACACACACACACACACACACACACACACACACACACACACACACACACACGTACACACACACACACACACACACACACACACACACACACGCACACACACACACACACACTCACACACACAATGATGTTGGCAGGATGTAATAATATTATTGTTATAATATAATGTACGCATTCGCTTTGCACATGTTTTAAATACAAGGTATAAAAATTTTTTTCCGAGACCTAAAAAACTGTTCGCTATAGATATCATGCATGTTATGCAGTGTGCATGCTAGACTGTATATGTCATGTATACATTTCAAAATACCTTTTATATTGCTTCTTCTTTCCTATCAAACATATCTGTTGTCTTTATCTCCCCTCCTTCTTTTTTTGTGTTTGTTACTCTCTTGCAACACCTCTAATCTTCTGGCGTTTATATGACCTTATGCAGTCGCGAGCGCCGTAAAACTTCTACTAAAACTAAAAAACGAACTATTTTATGGCATTGAAGTAAACGGTCACTGTCTGTCTGAGGTGGTTAAAGTATTGTCGTCTGTCTTATGTGGCAGGATGGTTGTATGGTGTGCAAGCCATGGCTGTGATTGGATCGATAATTGTTGGAATCGCATCAGTGCTTTCGGTCATCAACCTGGTCAGAGAGAGCAAGGGAGACCGTCTGAGGCTACTGTACCTGATTATTGCTGCTACCTGCGTTGCTGGAGGTAGGTTGTCAAAAATTGCATTTTGATAAATTTATGTCTCAGGGCTCTGAGCTGTTATTTCTATGCCGTGGTTGGAGGGAGTGGGGGGGGGGGGGGGGGAGGAGAGGTTCTGAGAGTAGTGTTAGTCCAAGACCAGTATTTAAAAAAAAATGTGATTGTGGGTGGTTGGCGGGTGCTCTGGTGTGGTTTGCTTCTTCTTTCCTATCAAACATCTATCGTCCTTATCTCCCCTTTTTCTTTTTTATGTTTGTTACTCTCTTGGAACATCTCTAATCTTCTGGCGCTCATATGACCTTTTGCAGTTGCGAGCACCATAAAACCCCGACTGAAAAAAAAAATGTGACTGAAGGGAAGTGATGTTTAGAGAGGTCAGTCTTTGGGCTATATTTCGTCAAGTAAAGTATGTCACGTGCTTTGAACGTGTTACTGGAAGAAAAAGGTAATCTCTTGTTGTTGTTTTTTTTTGTGATTGGTTTTTTGTTGGAAGAAGCCTGTCACCAGACTTATTTTGATGGGTGGTTGGCGGGTGCTCTGGTGTGGTTTGCTCCTTTCCTATCAAACATTTAAAAAAATTTTATTAAAAAAAAAAAATTTGTCCTGATCTCTTCTCCTTTTTTTTGTGTGTGTTACTCTCTTGTAACACATCTATTCTTCAGCACTTATATGACCTTATTGTGTTGCAAGTGCCGTAAAACTCATACGAAAACTAAAACCAGACTTATTTTGTCAAGGAAAGTGTGTATGCTATTTGTTGATGGTGTTGTGCTCTGACTGTGGAAATATATCAACTCTTTTTATTTCCCTAATTTCATTGACTAGATCAGTCTGCAGGTCCTCAAAATCCAAAGTCATCATGCACTATAAATAGCATAAAAAGCCGTTCTTTGTTGGATGCGACTCAGATTTTAGCATTACACACATTTTAACCGAATGTCTAGACTTTGGAGAGATCTGAAGGAAATAATTTGAATGCCAAAAATTGCAAGACATTTTTTCCGTCGTTGATCCCAACAGAATTTTGGATTTTATGAAGGCCATTGGCCTTTATGGAAAGTTATGAATTTCTAAATGTCATTTAGAAAGTTATTTTAAATTTGAATTTAAATCTAAAATGTATTTTCACTCGATTTTTAGCGTTTAAAAAAAATTTTTAATAGCAATATTGACCAGTACCAGACCAAGAAATACACTATTGAGAAAAAAAACTTGTTTCGCGCGCTCATATGACCGTATGCAGTTGCGAGTGCCGTAATACCCCATACTAAACTAAAAAAATTTTTTTTTCAATATCATAATGATGGCCACTTTCCTCCTTGACAGTGGGTGGTTGTCTTGGACAGGTTTGGCTAGGTCTATAGAATCAAATTAATGTGTTAACTCTTCCCCCCCCCCCTTCCTTCTAGGTGTGTTCATTCTCATCGGAGACATCATCATGGCCTCCAAGTATTCATCAGTTTTGGACGGCATGGCACAGGGACAAGTTCCCCCTCAAACTTGGTCCTTCATCAAGGACCAGTTCTACCTGAGCTGGGGTTTTGCTCTGGATGTCGTCTCTGTGGCCATGGCTGTTCTGGCCGGCGTGGCCCACGTCGTGGCCGGGCGGGCCGCCCTCAGCGCAAATGGGGTGGTCTAAGGCCGCCTTCAGAGCCAATGGGGTGGTCTAAGGCTGCCCTCAGGGCCAATGGGGTGGTCTAAGGCCGCCCTCAGCGCAAATGGGGTGGTCTAAGGCCGCCCTCAGCGCAAATGGGGTGGTCTAAGGCCGCCCTCAGGGCCAATGGGGTGGTCTAAGGCTGCCCTCAGGGCCAATGGGGTGGTCTAAGGCCATCTGCTGCCATTTGTGGAACCAAAGGAGAGGAATTTTTCAGTGGCTTTTGTATGCGTGAAGGATAGAAATGGACAAAGCTTTAGCCACAAGGGCTTGTTTTTTCGGAATATGTAAGAGCCAGTGGCTGTTTCTTTTTAAGCAACAGTATTTTGATATTCATCAGCAGTCCTCTAAAAGAATTGTAAATCATGTGAACAGCTTTATAACAAAATGCCGATTATGAATTATGAAAACTGTCGAGGGTGCTGATAAGTTGATACCTGATCTGTGTGCTGTTAAAAGGAAAAAAACAACTGAATTAAAGCTTTATACGGTTTTTCAGGCCATCTTGCCATTTTGGCCCCAGCTTTTAACAAAAGTCTACTATAAACATTACATATTATATACTAAATAGAGATTATTTGTTGTAGCAGAGGGAACAAAACAAATATAATTTAGTCTCACTGTATTCTTATTTCAGTCAGTGCGCGCATGCCGTGTATTTTCTGGCTTTTTTTTCAAAACCTGTGTACATCCCTGTATAAAATCAGTGCCTACAGCAGTTTTGTCACTAAATATTTCAAGTCTGTTTAGATCAGAGATCCAGCTGGTGATTAGAATGAAAAGAAAAGGGGTAGTTTGAAGGTTTTAGACAAATCCCAATTTTCTGCCCGTCATATATTTCTCTCTATATAGAAAGACACTAGTATTACAATTCTAAATGCCTTATACATCATGTCTCACATGGTTAAGATGTCTAATATGATTCACCTTATGATATCTAGAATTTAACGCTGAATATGCTGATCAATATCGAAAACCGTTTGTGTCGTAAATATTGTTATTGATGAAAATGTGTCCGATGAGTACTTTTTTGTGTGTTTAAAAGCATCTGGGCATGGTGCTTAAGAATTTGATGTTAATGTTTTTATATTTTTGTTCGTTTGTCACTTCCTTGGAATTGTTTTTGAGTAGGTAGAGGTCCGTGGTGCTTGGCTAATGCGCCAATTTCAGAATTGAACGATACCAGGTACTCTATTGTGGCGCCTATATTATTGGTATCAGGCACCTTATTGTGGCTGTCTACATAATAATGGTAAATGTTGTTAATGGTCTAGAGAATGTGAAGGCCAACTGTGTTCATTCAAGCTTCATTATAATACTCTTGTCATGTTAAACATTTAAAAGATGCCAGTGTTAATCAGGTGAGATCTGGATAAAATTGTCAGGTGCTTAGAACTTAAACTTCATGAAGGAAAGTCCTCTAACTTTCTGTCAAGCAGGAAAATGTGGGGGCTAATATGAAAAGTTGAAGACAAAAATGAAAGCCTCAAATACTCAATATTTCACAATATGTATTATTAGTTTTTTTTAGTAAAATGTTGTTACTGTGACGAACATGTTAATGAATTGTTGTGTAGCACAGTGCTGTGGAGGACCACAGATCTATGATGAACTTCCTTTGGCTCTTCTTTGTTGCATGCAGAAGGCATGAGCTCAATTTCAGAGTGGAAAATGAGTGTTTGGAGCACCGCTGTCATCTCTCTCTTTCTCTCTCTCTCTTTCATCTGGCGCTATTGTGGTGTCATAAACGGTCAGCGATATCGACAGCACGCAGGAACTCAACAGTCGCTCGGGGGTCCTTGAAAAGTGCTGAAAGTGGGTTACTGAAATGTCCAAGCAGACGTGTTACCTCTGTCATGTCTTGTGGAATGCTTTTACCTCTATTCAGCCTGAGCAGGCCCTGATGGGCAGAGTTTAAGGAGCCCGCCTCTTATTTGATCTGAATTGAGTCGGGGGGGTTGTGAAGTATGTACATTCAGTCATGAGGATGATCTACCATGATCTTCTTTCATTCTCATGCATTCTTCTAGTTGATGCGCGAGTATCTGGGTACTCGGGTCAGAGAAACGTTGGAGGAGGAGATTCGAACCAGCTGTAAGAATTTGATGTCTGTTTTGTTTATTAGGGTGAAAAAATATATTCAATCTTTTATTTAGTTTAGGGACTGCAGTTTGGTTGTGATACTGGTGTGCATCTACAAATCCAGAAAACATTATAAAGGCTTACCCAAAATGTTCACTCAAATTAAGAGTGACATTGCAGAGGTAATGGAATATCTTGTGTGTTGAATCCTGATCATTAACTCTGTATCTGCGAAGGGGGTAAACCCACTACGCTAAGGCCTTTTTTTGGTACTAAATCTAAAAGTTACAAAGCGTCATTAAGTGGGTCATTTCATCCACAAATGAACTTATTTTGATAGTTCTTCACCTATTGAATAAACTCCCGGTAAAAGAGACCTGTTTTTGACAATTGCCAAAAAGTAATTTGACGTCGAAAGTCGTCGTAAAAGAATGGGCCCGAGCCGCTGCCAGTACCGCGAGCCGCTGGGAGAGGCTTATTGCTGGAGATTGAGAGTTAATGGTATGGTTGGCATACCTTGCATGTTGCCCATGCATTCATGTTTTATAGTCAAAGAAGTAGATGTTTAAAGAGCATGTTGTCACAGAACTTTTGTATTTCCTGTTGTAAATGTTGAAGCAAGGAATGGTTCCAGAATCCATTTTTATTTTCAAATTGTTTGTTTTTTTTCAAAGAAAAAAGCGATCTGATCCTTCGTTTTATTATATTTTTTTTTACTTATTATTATACCATAGTGCTTTGAGAATCAATTAATTTCAAGTTTTTGTCCTTTGTAGTGTGTAATCATACTCTCATTATTTTTTGTTGTGTTCAGTATGTGTGTATATATATATATATATACATACTGAACACAACAAAAAACAATGTGATATATATATATATATATATATATATATATATATGTATATATATATATATGTATATATATATATACATACTGAACACAACAAAAAACAATGTGAGTATATATTATATATTTATATATATATATATACAGAGTGTGCAGTTGTAATTTGATCTTAAATTTTACCTCTAGAAAAATGCAGATCTAATTTTAAACTACCAAATAGTCCTCAAATGCATTTGCTTGAGTCACCAAGCATTATATTTCCTTGAGTGTGAAAATTATCCTTGTTACAATGTTCTGAAACGCTGTGACAGAATGCGAGCGTCAAAAAATTGAAAACTGGAAATTGGATTATGTTATCCTTCTGGGATGGACATGACTTTTCCTAAAAAAGCAGTGTGGAAGAACTCAACCCTTCTCTAACTGTCTTCAGGTTCTTCTAGTGTTGTCAATGTTGAAGGCAGCTTTCTTGTCACTAAACGAATCACCTCAAATCACTTGAATAAGAGATGAACTGAGCAGGATGGAGCGGTTTGCTAGAGGTAAGGAGTTAATCGGTCTACTCGTTGGTTCAGAAAGTGTTCCTGGTTTTTCTTTTATAAGATACTCTGATCATAGCTCTTGTACTGAGCCCCACGGATGCACAAAATATACATGTTTTTTTAGATTAGTCCATACTTATTACCACTTTTCTGTATTTTGCATCTTTTCTGCAGTATTTATTTAATTAACTCTGTGGGTAGTTAGCAGGTGCTCTGGTGTGGTTTACTCCATTCTTCATTCCTCTTGAACATCTATCATCCTCATCTCTCCTCCTGTTTTGCTCGTGTTACTCTCTTCTAACACTGTAACACCTCTAACCTTCGGCACCTACATGACCAAATTGTGTTACAAGTGCTGTAAAACTCTTAGTTGTTGTTTGTGTCATGGCATTGAGGACTAGGGTGTCTGTGGACTGCCTGCCCACCCTGAGAAGGGGCCATGCACGTTGAGGATACGTGGTGCAAGGGTTTTCATGAGGCTGGAAAGGCCTAACTGCCCTGTGACCGTGTAATTCCGGCAGGGTTCACGTTGCCCATTCCCCGCCTCCAATGGCTACTGGCTATAGTTGTCTACTCTTGCATGAGGTTTCGGCCAAGTGAGAAAGCCATTGGATCGTCACGTCCTGGGTCGTTGTGCCTTTACTAAGAGGTCCACGGTCAGAAGGCAAGTCAGGCACTCCACTCGATCCATCCTTGCATCCAGACTGGCTGGTTCCTTCTCAGCCACAGAGGGTGGAAACTCTTAGTTAAACTACTAAAAACCATCCCACTCGGCCTGCATTGGCCCTGAACGGCAGGCTCAAAGCTATCCATCTCATAATTGATCTGATTTTTTTAAAAAAATTTTTACGGAGGCATGATAAAGTGTTTAGTCCTTGACCGGCCAGCACAACTAGAGACGGCACTAATATGACCTTATTGTGTTGCAAGTGCCGTAAAACTCTTACTAAAACTATAAAAAAAAACAACAGAGGCCAGTGTTGTTCAGCTGTTAGAATATATCCATTTATTGGCAGTTCGTCTGTGTGGGTGGTTGGTGGGTGCTTTGGTGTGGTTTGCTTCTTCTTTCCTATCAAACATCTGTCCTTATCTCCCCTCCTTCTTTTTTATGTTTGTTACTCTCATAATACCTCTAATCTTCTGGCGCTCATATGACCTAATGCAGTTGCGAGCACCGTAAAACCTCTACAAAAACAAACAAACAGCAGTCGTGTGTGGACTTTTCGCTGATGTAAATCTGCATGGGGATGAATGTCTCCGAATAATTAAAATTAAAATCGTCGAATTGTAGTGGTTGGCTTGAATACACACTTTTGAATAATGACTTTTCATGTCAACATTTTGCAATGTTAGTTCCTATGAATGGCTGTTCTTGGTTATCTGTGTGTAATCAATTTTTGTTTATTGTACATGTACCTATTTTTGTCTCATACATGATACCTTTGATTGAAGTATCGACTTACACAGCCAGTTACCGTGGCATGCCTGTTGTGCAGTATTGCATAAGTTTTGAAAAAAGAAAAAGGAATATTTAGTTTTACTCAGTGTTTACAACCTGGACATAACTGAAGGGTTGATGATGGTTTTCGTCTGTCCCCATCATTTTATGCAAGAAAAATTCTGAAATTATGCAAACTGAGCCCAAAAAATGGGAAATTATGCGATTCTGTTATTTTTAACAAAGAATAATAAAGGAAAAATAATCAGAAATTATGCAAAAAGGGATCAAATTTTGCTAAATTATGCCGGGTGCATAAGACCACGAGGACAGTGTAGCAAGTCCCTTTGTTTTTTACTAGTGGGAGGTTGGAGGGTGCTATTGATATATAGCAGGTCTTGCCTATTATCTTTCCTTCAATAGATTCTCTCTGTCTCTCTTGCTTTTTTTTAATGCACAAACTGGCCAGTGTCTTGTCTGTGTTTCTCTTTACCAAAGATCGTACATAAACAAGATGGTTCACTCAGTTAAATGTGTCAGCGGAAGTCCGTGCATTGCTTCAGATGGCGCTGCAGTCTTTTAAAAAAAATTGAAGCTCTTTTTCGTTTCTTCAGAAGAAAAATAGGAATAGCGCAGTTTGTTAGTTTCACTTTTATTGTTTTTCACACAATTAGGGTAACTGTTCCCAATGTCCGCTCTTTTTTTTGAGAGGGCGCCGCAGAATTTTGAGGACACTTTTTTAATTGCCCCGAAGAGAGGAATGAACTATCTTGTTATACACCATCTTTGTCTTTACTCAATCAAGATACAGAGACTGAACAGGTCTTCTTAAGTTTAACAGCTGACAGTTTTTGCTCCTGTGTTTTCGATAGCTGTTATCGGTCGCTTGGTTTGGTTTGCTATCTTCTTTAGTTTTTCGTGATATAATATATATAGATCTGTGTGCTGTTTTTTGGGGTTTGATTATATTTTTTAGAGGTGAAATATTCAAGTTGCCATATTTTTTGCCCGGGTTTAATTTGTTACAGCCATCTTTAAACACACTATACATGTGTACGTATACTCACTTACTTAAGCTTTTTTAAAATAGTTTTTTTTTTCTTTCAATAACTTTCATTATATTTGTGTACAGAATATATTTTTCTTGACTTGTGACCATCCCTAGAATTGAGTGGTCACTGCATTGATAGCAGCTTTTTGACATCATAATTACTTTTGAAAATCTGGACTTTCTTCTTTAAGTACATTGGGCGGCTCATTAGGATTAGTGAGCTGGCATGTCAACGGATACCTTTTCAGTCGACTAGTTGGTCAAGGAGCTAGTTTTAATCATCCTCAGACAGAAAAGATAGTTGTTACGAGGAAGTTATTTTGGGGAGTATTTCCGTCTGTGTCCTGGAGTGCTGTGTCTCACTCACCCCTTGCTCACCTGACTGGGTAAGAGGGTGGGTGGTTGGCGGGTGCTCTGGTGTGGTTTGCTTCTATTTTCCCCCCATCAAACATCTAACGTCTTTATCTCCCCTTCTTCTTTTTTATGTTTGTTACTCTCTTGTAACACCTCTAATCTTCTGGCGCGCATATATGA